ATTCTCTCTCTCTCTCTCTCTCTCTCTCAGAAATTTTGACATACACCAAAAGTGGGCATTGCTCTACCTATAGGAGAAGTTTGGTTTCATTGGTGTGTGTAATTTGTTTTGTTATAGTAGAGAAAACTTTCCTTAAGTTATAAAGTACTGAATAAGGGTCCAAAAACTTTAACTTGGATTTTCTCAAAATATTTTTTGGGGATAGCCTACTTGTACTTGAAAGTGACCATGTGTAGGATTTCATAGGACTCTTTATTTAACATGTACATTCTTCAAATACCAGCCACGGTGCTTTTATTAGCAAGGATACAAAGAAATAAATCCAAATCAGATAAATAGACTTACAGTGGGATGGGAATTGGTTGACAGCACTTTAAATGACCAAGGCATTGGCTGAGTCGTTGGGATACTTTTTGAGGGCCACTTTTGGGGTGAACAATTGTTTGTTGCAAACGTGTTTGTAAAACTCGCCTGGTTTTTGTCTGACTGACTCTACTGGTATAAACATGTAAAAATGATATTCAATGATGTTATGATCTGTTAACCTTTTCAAGAACCCAAGTCTAAAAAGTATATTAGAGCCTTGTCGAACTGGGACCCTGGAGAAACCAATCCGACCCTCCCATTTTTTTTGTCAGTAACATACCAAGAGATTGTGCCAAATATACCACTAGACAAGAAATTACACAGAGCATATTTTTAGATTTTTCTAGCTACACAAATAGTGTGGTTCCCCCTTGGAAATCACAAATTATGTGACGTGGAGAGGGTTCTGAATCTTTGCTAAATAAAGAATAAGGCACTTACTGTTTTTCTCAACAGTTTGAATGTTTTAAATCACTTTTTAATCCTGAACACTACATTATAAAAGAATGTCTCTATAGCTAGTAAGGAAATCAGATTCTGAAAAAAATGTATATCCCCACCCAATGTTGATGCAATTAGAGGGATATAGCCTGAGGTAACAGTGATTAGGACAGCACAAAGTATACAAAGAAATGCTTTTATCGTTTTGCGTAATCAGAAAGAGAAACGAATTAGGCATTCTATAAGACAACTTTCTGCGAAATTTTGAAGTCAAATTTTTCAAAACTAGGTACTAAGTGGATAGAACTTTATAATTCTAAAGTAGCGACTTGTCAAAACGGGAAATTATTATCTTTAATCAATTATCATGTAAGCCTTATGAGGTCTGTGGAACTTGAAGAAGTTGAGGCCGCCTCACGCCACACTTACCAGGGTCAACTGTTTTGCCATTAATAATAACACCGAGAAACACCTTCCAGCTACACCAAATACAAAAGACAGGAGAGTGAGAGAATATGTGCTACGCATATATATGTTACCAGTTTGTACTTATA